ACAGAGCTTGCTCGAGTGTTGGCGTGCAAAACAAATCAGTGCGGCACTACGCCACGCCAGGCTCAGTTTCCACGCATACATCATCTCCTCCTCCTCCCCTGTCCACCACCCCCCGTCTGCGGCTGCTGTATCGATCTCGCTCACAAAGACGCTAAAGACTAACTGGACGGGGAAATAACTGGCCTCGGCTGCAGGTGGTGAAGCAGGTTTCATCCTGAAAGATGGGGCGGATCTCATCTGAGCCGCCTTGACATCGTCTCGAAAGGATGGCACAATTCGTTGGAGTATTTGCGTATCCGCTGTTGTCGCTGATGATGGATTCGAGCAGGAATCCGAAGCGTCAGGCTAATAAAGCTCTTGTCCCAGCGAACGTGTCTCCTTCTTCAAGACTACTTCCTGGGACTTGTCTCTTCGCTTCTAATGGAGTATTTACGATCAGTACCTGACTTCTAAAGTGACTGCTATGAAATACTGAGAAGCAGCGGTTCTCTCAATCTTCCTTCTCTTTGTCGAAAATGCTTATTCAGTATGTCAGAGCAGTCATGTTATAAGTCAAGTACTGATCATAAATACTCCAATAGAAGCGAGGAGACGAGTCCCAGGAAGTAGTCTTGAAGAAGGAGACACGTTCGCTGGGACAAGAGCTTTATTAGCCTGACGCTTCGGATTCCTGCTAGAATCCATCATCAGAGACAACGGCAGATACGTAAATACTCCAACGAATTGTGCCATCCTTTCGGGACGATGTCAAGGCGACTCAGATGAGATCCGCCCCATCTTTCAGGATGAAACCTGCTTCACCACTTGCAGCCGAGGCCAGTTATTTCCCCGTCGAGAAGGAAGATTGAGAGAACCACTGCTTCTCGTTCATATTACATGTTACCCGGTCATACATTAACCCAGGCTGGGAAGATGCACAGCTGAGGTCACAAAACTGACGATGGTCGGAGCTGGAGCAAACAAATCACGACACTTCTCTACGGCCGGTGGGTACAGGACTAGCTCTGGCCGCATCAGAACTGTCAACATCCGATGTAAATTTCAGGATTTAACAGGTTCATCTCCAGCGGGAAATCGTGTGATTTTCACCCCTGCAAATCCGACTTCCGTATAAGAAAAATGTTTTCGCCATAGTCTCAAAACAGGAATTGGCTCATCAGGGAGTCTGATGGCGTTCGCCAAACGCACTCGGTAAGGGCCCAGCCAACAGATAGCAGTAAAATAGGAGTTTGGACTTTCGGATCCTACCCGTATTCAGAGCCTAGAAACAGAATTTACGGTTCATATGCAAATGCTCCGGATGATGGACACCCTGGGAAATATTCTTTCCACAATACGTAGGTGTACGATATAAAAGGGTGTAGGAGGACGAATTGGCACTTAAAGAGCGCGGCAGACATCGTCACGTAGAACCAAAGATAGTTTTTCCCGGATAAACAAAGGTTTCCTAGATCATTGCGTACGCTTTCTAGAAGTCAAACGGGGTCGCCGTTTGCCGATTTACGCTGCCCACAGAGAGAAATGGCCACTCTTGCTTGGCCTTGGAGGTGATCGCACCGCAACGGTCGGTCGATAATCGGCAAAATAAGGGAAGTGGGAACTGTAATTCCTGACCCACCTACGCATCATCAGACGACCACACCCCCAGAAGAAGTACCGACACAGACCAGGGAAACTGCGATGGACATTTCTGGTCACTTGGCCGTCGTCAGGCAACCATACCGAATCCCAACGGGATGGCGACCCCCTGACGCAAGGATTGAGCAAACCTGGGATTGGATACGCCTGCATGACGACGGCTAAAATGTCAAAAATGGTAATCCACGCTTTCCTCGTCCTTACACGTAGGTCTTTTTGTATCGTCATGACTGCCCAATAGAGCAAAGACTGATATCCACGGCGCAATGGGGGTAACCTAATAGTGGAACCTCTTTGCCACGATGGCCATTCCCCAAAGGGATACATGATATGTGCGGTCTGAACCCGAGGCTGGGTTATTGTGCATTTTAGCCGCGGGGACCCATGAGCAGTTGGCTGCAACCAGGAGTACCCAAACCCCCCTCCCCACTTGTGGGCTACGTTTGTGGCCTACAACTATCGTGAAGCCGAAAGGGAGCGCTAATGTTTCATTTATGCGACTGTCTGTGAAGGCACATAAGTGGCATTTTTAGGGTATATCTGGAATGAATGATCGATGAGCGAAGATCACATGTGATGGAACATTTTTGACTTCAGTCAGTAGGATGTTGGACTTTAAAATGCCTGGTGATCAACGGGATGTGGTCCGACGGTGGCGGAAAATAAAACAGAAACGGCGGTCGTTTCGACCCACCCTGCTTCTTCATGCCACTTCTTCGCCAGTTCATTAGTTTTGTAGCAAGCCTGTTTGCAAAGCTCCCAAAGAACGTGCTGCGGACTCCAAATGGCGGTGAAAATAAGGACAGAATGTTTGTTTCCACGCGATGAATACAGGTCGAATTCGTTTGTTAAGTTGGGGATCAACCCCACATAAAACCTAAGTTCTGTGAGCAAGCATGCAGTCGATCTGGTGTTTCGTAGCCGTTGGTGGTAGGTCTTGTCTACGGTAGGTGATGGCATTTTGCAGTGGGAAAGTGTGCATCTTCTTCTGAGCCGCCCGCCGGTCTGACTATTAATCAGAGTCTTTGCATGTATGTATTCACGTTGGATTTTGTTTTTAAGCCTATTCTACGTTCTTTGAGGTTGCTGTGATCTAGCGGAGCATCCGTACGTAGAACGGCCGTTCAAATAGAGCTTTACTGGTTTGGTCCCATTATCAGACGGAGTGCTAGTCTCCCTTGTGCTTCCAACTGGGAAGCATTCCGACTATTTGTTGCTTGTTGCTAGTAACTAGGCTCGAAGGACTGCAGCACATTCTGCAACCAGTCCCGGCCGACAGACTTCTTTGAAACACTGTTTGACTGTTTCCGAACGTAACCGTCAGGAGGCGAATTCCCATCCCAGCTCAAATAACATCTACCTCAGGGGTCGCATGAATTTGGACATGACTGGCTGACGGCGAACAAAAATGGTCATTCTCGCCTTCCCTGTTAAACATCACACAAAAATGGGGGAAGGTAGGAAGCCAGTTGGATAAATGTTCAGTCTTCGTAAGACCAGAGCTGTCGACTAGAATAGCCATCAATGCTAGTAAGATACACAAGAAACGGCAAAATAGGTGGCCAAAATGTTAGTTCATACCGTCCGGATACAAATTTAAGAGGGTGTACACTAAAACATCCGTTCCCGAGCAAACATTAGATGTGCCAATGCCACCCCATTCCTGGGTACTTACTGGTACTTGTTAATGTTAACGAAGAGGGGAAACTGATGGTAACGAGCGGTCGGTGAAACGCCACTTTTATACATAATGGAGGAAGGGAGCGATACTTACCGGCACCAGACTCCAAGTAATCCATCTTTTTCGAGAGTACAAAAAGAGCTTGCTGCAGGAGCGAGGTGGCGCATAACTGCTTCTGAATGGCATCATCCAGGTTGGGCAGCTGTTGTGGTGTTTGTGGGTTGCCTGCCTCGAAGGAGGACCTCAGCACCTGGAAGATGGACGGCATTGAACCGGCGGCAGCAGCAGCTGTTATCGCTTCTCCTAGAGGTCGGGGCCAGTCACTGCCCCATGGCTGTTGCAAGGAATGGCTCTGCATCGAAAAGAAAGCCATCCACCCTGAGGTAGCTCTACTGTTACACAAATTTAGCCGCCTCAACAATCGTCCAGGCATTTTATAGGCAGACGACAACTTCATACCCGTTAGCGAACAGCCAATGGTGAGCGTGATTTGTCGGGATCGAGTCTGATTGGTTGTTAAAAGCGGTCAGCGGAAATAGCCGGGGCGTGACACATGCACCACGCGGGCATTAGGTGTGACTTCACGCACGCGTGGGGTGACCAGGTCGCGTTACTCTCCCCCTCCCCCCGCACCCTTTTTCCAGAGTTCTGTCGCCGCACGCGGCACCGTCAGAAGTCATTAAATGGGGAATTAGCCGCTGCGGCATTTGAAACAGTTGAACATGGTTTCGCGGCCTTTTATACGTGTTACAGGTTGTTTTCGCTGTCAGTGCAGTGTTAAGTGGGCGTGTTATTGCCACATTAACAAGGTCTGCCCTTGAGGTTTGCGCAATACTCCCTCATTAAAATATTAACCACTCCGTGTGCGACTTTGCTTGGTAGGTACAGCCGCTGAAATCGTTGTAGGGAGGAAATGGATCCGTTATGAACAAGCTATTCAGTAAAAACGCCGATCTGTTAATCGCCAGTGTCAATTTTGGAGCGGGAGACGAAAATCCTGCGAATCTGTTCGGTGTAGAAGAGGCTCGCTTTTCGGTAGAATTACCTTCACTGGAATGTCTGGTTGGTTAAAAAGCAGGTTGCAGTCCTTGCTGAATCCGGAGACTTAGCCTTACTTCAGGAGGGCAAGAGGTCATGGGCGATGATGTAAATATGGGCAACGGAGGGAAGCGCTGACGGGTGTGTCGGGGTCTGAAAAACAGCTGTGTTAACTGACTACTTAATCGCGATTTCAAGCGCCTAACAGCCCTATGTATTTGTATATATATACTGAGGGTTTATCAACAACCCAGACAGCCTTCGAGCTCACTGCTGTCTGACCAAAGTGAACAAACCAAAAGCAAGCAGAAACGTCTCTGGATCTGTCCAGGACGGCGATTTTTCACATATTTGCCATTATCACTCGACCAGTGCAATATAACTTTGACGCTGTTAATTACTTTGCTGAAATTCGTCCCCTTCAGGAACTGAGATAGCACCAATTATCCATAGACAGATTACAGTACAGCACATTTGGTAACGTTAATGTTTTTAACACTTGGAAAAATTCGTATCTGTCTGGTTTCGAAAACTTTGCCAGTCTGAAAAAAGAAACATCTGTAGCTATTTGATGCCTCCATTTTCAAGTTTTGATATAATTCGCTTCCTTGTTACAAATAGGCAGTTCAAAGGTTCAACACCTATGTTTCCCTCAAATAAACTAAAACTGAGACTGGTTTGCCCGCTTTTGAGTTTCAATGTGAGGAAGAAGAAAAAGAAGAAGAAGAAGAAGAAGAAGAAGAAGAAGAAGAAGAAGAAGAAGAAGAAGAAGAAGAAGGGAGAAGAGGTAGACGAAGAAGAAGTTGAGGGATCTCCGCGGTGCCGATTCATTGCCTCTCCCCTCGTTCGCTTCAGCTTTAGATGACTGAAGCCGGTTATTAAGCCAATGGCTTATTTCACATCCCACTCCGCTCTAGGCGTACCACGGTGTTTCTCTGGTTTCCTTCCCATCGAACCGGATTTTACTAACAAAGTAATTACGGCAACGCTAAGATATGATAGTTTAGTCCTCCGGCCTAGTTTGCCATGCCCAAAAGTTCGTTGGCTGTGGCCTTGTGTACGTATTAACTTCGTGAGGTTGCAAGTCAGATCAGCATGGCAGGTGGCACCACTGGGCGATGCGTACTAACGTCCATCCGAATGACTCCCTCCCTCTACTCAATGCGCACACCTCGGCTAGAGGTCAAACGAAAATAAAATGAGTGGGAAAGTCATACTTTGTAGAACTCAGACTGACTCTGAGCCCAGAGGACTCTCGCGAGCAGAAAAGGACGCAAGGACCGATTCCGACAAAACAAACGAGTGAGTTCCGTATAAACGATCGGTGAGCGCCCCCTACCATTGTATATTCCCGATCGAAAACCGACAGGTCAACGGGCTCGTGGCCCAGTGGTTAGAGGCGTGGACTTTTAACCAACAGGTCACGAGTTTGAGCCCCGGGTGTACCACACCTCGGGGTGGGGTATGACTGGCTGACGACGGCTAATAAGCCAGAAATGGCCATTCCAGTCTCCCTTGTCTTTGTCGGTAATGCCATTCTGCCTAGAAACAGTAATGCCCCTAGAGGCACTGCGCTAACCCGGATGGCGTAAACAGCTTCACTTCAGACGATTAGCCCGGCAGTGCACGCAAAACTGAGGCGAGGGGTCTCGGCGTGAAGGAGTCAAATTCTATGCACCAGAAGCATTTCGGGGGCCGATAGCCGCCTTCTTATTCCGTACGGGATCGGGACTGTGTACAGATCCAAAGCAATCCTTCGAAAGAAACTCACCCTCTCGAGAGACTGACCCATCTGAAAGTATTTCTCAGGAAGCTGGCCATCTGAAGAACAAGAAAAAACTCCTTGTTTTCGACAGAAATGAAGTTATAGTCGTCCCCCACCCCTTGAAACGGAAGTAACCTTCATTTTCTACGCGCCAAAACAGCTTTACCGGGCAAAAATTACTGCCTACACAGCAGCAGCAGCAGCAGCAGCAGTCATGAGACACTCAATGCCATCAGAGTGTAACTGCAAGTTTATTACAGTCGGAAGTCTCGTAGCAGATGATAAATGCATGAATCCCGAGCTGCTGGATGCATGAGTACCATGCTGGAATGGATCAGGCAGATTAGTAAACGCAATCTGGCTGGTCAGTAGGAAAAGAAATTCCAACGGTGCTGGTGGGTGCGGTCACCACCAGCGGTATCACAAGTAATGAAGTTGACAAGAACTGTCGTACGCCGCTGCGAGGTCAGTTTTCCCATGTGCTCGTCGCCTCGGAGTACCGAACTAAACTATTACGGTGTGCTAAGCTCAGATAAAAGGGGGCAGGAGGGTTAAAGTATTATGCCGGTTACTCTGGAATGATATATTGGACAGTCTAGCATAATTCTGTCGCCGCCGGCATCACTGGCCTCCTCCTCCTCCTCCTCCTCCTCCTCCTCCTCCTCCTCCTCCTCCCCGTCGTCGTCGTCGTCGTCGTCGTCGTCGTCGTCGTCGTCGTCGTCGTCGTCGTCGTCGTCGTCGTCATCGTAGTCGTCGTCGTCATCGTCGTCGTCGTCATCATCATCATCATCGTCATCATCCCCTTCTTGGCCCCTTCTTCGTTTTCTTCTTCCCCTCTCCCTTTTCTACTCTCCCCACCGTTCACTCTATTTCCCGCACTATCTCACTGTTCTCTCCTTAGTCAGAAGTGGTTATGTAGCCGCACCTGATGTAAACAAACACCAGCCGCCTGTAATACGGGAACAGTGGTAATAGGGGTTTTTACAGGTGGGGCCGGGGAACGCACAGGCGACGAGGTTGAGTAATTGTATGTAAAAGAAAGGCTATTGG